GCGCCACAGACGCGCTGCTGCCGCGCCACAGACGCGCTGCTGCCGCGCCACAGTCGCGCCACTCAAACGCTTCTATAAGCATCTAATTAGAAGGCGACCATAAGATCTTTAAATTTAAAGTGTTGTTAACTTACAAAGCCATGCCCAGAAGTGGCTAAAGTCGGGCTGTGGATGATAATGACCTTACAAACTGGATTGGTCAAATTTAATTATTGAATTGTTAAAGGTCACATTTAATATTAACATTACACAATATCATACATATTTACTATATTAAATCAAAGTTAATATGATAAGAGGAAGCATTCAAGTAAATGTTGATTTTTTGAGTTCAACATATGATTATCACACAAAGTATGATTAGAAACCTTATGTTACACATACACAAAGCAAATTAAAGCGCAGGCCACACCGCCAACGAAGCTAAGCTAACTTAGATTAGTCCACATAGCCGGCAACTAATCATACTTCGCTTCACGCCGCGAAATAAACTAACCGAGCTAACTAAACTAACCCAACGATCTCGCTAAGCTATATAATATATGTCGTCCTTCTGCCGCCCTTCAACCCCACGTATCCATAGTGTAGCACGTCACTGCTTACTACGTATTTTCTTAGCTTAGCTTTGCCTGCAACTACATGAGCTAAGCAAAGTCTAGCTTCGTTGGCGTTGTGGCCTGCGCTTATATATTGACTCATTTGAATCTATTTATAAATAATTACAAAATGGCGTAATTTTTTTTAGGCAATAAAAGTAGATCTATTTTCAAATAGATAATATCTGTATCCCAAAAACCTTACGCACTATCTATTCGTGTGCATTATCGTTATCTTTACTGAGTGTGGATTACGAACACCGATGGAGACTCTTAGGGATATGTACTGATGGAATGCACTCCGTTTCAAAGCAACTGCCCTAGTATTTATGTGGTCTGTGCAACTGCCTATTCGCAGAAAGGTTGCCGTTTAATAGCAGTCGGTGCAACTTGAAGTGCACATTGTCTTTAAAAGTTCAATCAAATCAAGTTATGCGGATGAGGACAAGAGTTTGAAGCAACACACTCGGACCAACTGCCGCATTCTTGTGCAGCTAGTCCAACTGCAGCCGTGTCAGAATGCTGGACTGCGTTTATAGTGCAATCGAGCTGACGTTTGGCAGCTGTTTTGCTTCGGTCTCCATACACCCTATGCCAGAGTTCAAAGTGGCAATTATCACTAACACGATAATAATCTTGACAAACAAACCTTGACAATTATCTGATGGTGATATTTACAAAATTAATTTTGGAACCACAAAATGCTACCGCAATATGTATCCCAATGTGTCAAATGACAATCTGATAAACGTCACAAAGCAAATCGGTTTTCCCAAATATTTTTCTTCGCATTTATTTAGTTTTCGCAGTGTTTGTCGTTTTCAGTCATAATTCATAAATTAAAGAGACAACTATGAATCAGCACGGATAATTATCAGAAATTTATCTGACAATTAACATGAAAATTATCAAAGAAAATAATGATGATAATTTCGAACCCTACCCTATGCTACAATACGTATTGTAGGTTTACGACCTACCACCATATGTTCCTAGCCAACGCCAATGGGTTCATGGGGGCAACAAACAATATGAAATGTAATGAAATGGTAATGAAGTGAAAGCGATACCGCATACCGAGACGCCTTTGCGTCCCGCACAACCTTTGGATTCGGGTCACACAATTGTGGAAATATGAAAAATGGGAAAATAGTTTCTTTTTTCAAGAAAACAATTGGCATACAATTGATATTGACATTCTGTTTATGATTTTAAATATTCTGCGCGTCATGTGTAAAATTATACTTCATTGTAATAATCATGTATAATACAATGTATAAATTAATAATCATTGTATTAATTCTTTCTTTCGTAAATTAATCTTTCTTCTGTGGTATACTAAAGTATATTTCTAACAAGTGCAATAGCAAGAGGCAGGAAATAGACTTGTGTCTAAATTGAATGTTTGCGTAATTACGATACAATTAAAAGCATTTCGAGTTTCATTCTTATTTCCCAGACAATTAAGAACTTTGTTTTATTTTATTTATTTTATGAACTTGGAATCAAGTCATTCAGCCGCATTATTAAAGTTAATAAACTTAGAAATGTCAAATTAAGATATGAGTATGAAAGTTGAAACCCTGATTTTACTTAATTTTTACTTTATATAATTATATTCAGGCAGACCTATATTGCCCGACACAAGGTAATATCATAGTAAAGTAAAAGAAGTATAGTTAACTCCGTACAAAGTAACAGCGCAGCTTGTATGTGTGCGCGACTGCCGCGCGCCATGTACGGACGCATACATTCGCGTAAATAATAAAGGCGTGTTTAGACAACCAGTGTTATGCAACGCAAGTGTATCGAGAGATCATGCGAATGTGTGCGTCCACGGCACGCACATGTACAACCTGCGTTACCACGTTTGTAAGGAGTTACCATGTGTCGTATAATTAATTCTATGGTAATAATGTCAAGAAGAAATTACACCTGACGCAATCAGGAAACGAATGTTCCACCTTCCTGTAATGTCAGACAGGAAGGTAGAACATTCGTTTGTCGTGTGTCCGTTGCCGACGTCATGTGTATGTGTGACACATGTATGTTGTCTTCAAGTACATTCCTCGCACTGGTATTTAACTACAGGGACATAATAAGTTGATAATACGATATACAGTTAGTTATACATATTTGTTGTTTTGGTGTGTGGTGTATAGTTTCAGTTTTTTTCGTTTGCTGTTTTATATATTGAAATTACTCGATATGCAAATCTCGCGTATTTGTCTACACGAATTATAGAACCCTCTCCTTGGAGGAGACCCGTGCCCAGTAATGGGGCGAATAATGGGGTTGATAGTGATGATGATATACGAATGATTATGACGTACATCTTTCTTCTTCTTTTTAACAGACTTCAAAAAAAAGGCGGAGGTTCTCACTTCGACTGTATGTTTTTTTTTGTATGTATGTTACGCGATAACTCCGGTATTTGTGAACCGATTTTCATGATTATTTTTTTTTTTTTGTTGGAAAGAGGGTACCTCCATAGTGGTCCCATTTAATTAAATTTTATTAAATTTGAAGAAAATTATCCACATCTAAAGACGGCTTTTCACGCATGAAGATTCATTTTTATAAATAGCGCCTAAATTTTATTATAAGGAGCAATTATTTTAATGGTTGATTTTGCTATTCTCCAATACAAGGCGTTTTTCTCTCTCAATATACTTTGAGTAGAGAGAACCGATTTTTATTATATGCATTGGTATACAATAAATATCAGTGACTGATTTAAGTGAATCTTTAATACTTCCATTTAATTTTGGAAATAAATGAAAGTAATAATATTATCAATAATAATATTATTATCATACGTTTGTTTGCTTAAAACATGGTATAACAGGAGATGTAACAAGAGACAGTGTTAGTATAAACATGTTTCGCATATATTAAATAGCAGGCAAATATCTGATTATGCAATGTCAATTGACTACTATTGGCCGAGCGCCTTTGATTTGTGCAGAAAAATCGACACTTCTCCGAAGTGAGACAAGTAGTCACGAGCGACTGCAAGTTGTGACAAGCCACGTCAAACGAGCTCGATACACGTTAGCGCTCACCTTCACTCGGTCAGCTAGGCGAGTGACACTGAATGATGGCAAGGCAAGGCAAGGCAAATAGGCTGTCTATACGTTGGTATTGGCCTTCACCCGGCTACGTTGGACCAACATGATCGTTGTATTGCTGGTTTTATAAAACAAGAATTTTTAGTAGTTAGAGTTGTCAGTGGCGAAAAAATAGGAAACGAGTGGATAATTTTGTTTTCAGGAACTTAGAATGCCTAGTAAATGAGTCTTGTTTAATCTAAATTAAATATAAAATTATTTACCAATAAACCTAATGATGGAATTGCATTATCATGTAATCTAGTTACATTCAAAGTTATGTTAAAATTTGATTCTTCAAAATGAAGTGAATTACTGAAGATGGTCTTTAATTCAATGTTTATATTCGGCACTCTCATACGACGTAAGATTTCTAACCTTCTTTTTTCTTTTTTGATTTGTAGGTAAACTTGAAATAGTAAAAATATTAATAATAAAATAATAAAAACCTCGTAGTGAATTATTTTAATAACAGAATATCGATAATATGTATGCTTCTTAGAACAACACTATCTCAAAATAATCGTTGACAACAATCATCAAAATATACAAACAAACAGGCAATCTGTAGAAACCAAAGCAAGATTTGGCAAGATTTATGAATAAACTACTTAAATATGTCTAATTACATGAGATATTTGGGCTTTTGTGTGATATACAGACCGAAAAATAGCACAATGCTACATTCGGTCGATCTTCGCTTTTTCGAATATCACATCCCGTAATCTTCAGCGACGAATTTTTATTAATACTTAATTGTTCTCACTGGCAATACTTTTGTCCATTTTATTACAATACATGCGAATAATTCAATAAAACACTTGGAAAAACATTTGTTTTGACATTTGATGTACTTCCCTTTGACAACCGTATCATGTACCTCATGTACTGCGAAATGGGCACGGTTGGCATTTAAGACACGTTACGTATTTTCGATTCCCGTGTTTGACACAGACCAATTTAATGCTGTCTCTTTTGGCTTAAGACGGCACGCAATAGTTAAACAAAGACAATAACTTGTTATGTTTTCAATGTCGAAATGCATCATATATGTACATATAACGTCTGATTTATATATGTCAACATAACATGTCCTTAAGTTTCCTTAGTCTAAGAATATTACTTATGCACGGTCGGTGCCTTTTAGCAGCAATTTCTTTTGATAGTTTAGTGTCGACTGCGTAGTTCATCTAATGTGCCAATAGATGGCACCTTGAAATAGAGAAGAAAATCGTGAACAAATTTTAATGATTTTTTTTTTATTGGAAAGAGGGTACCTCAGTATTGGTCCCATTTAAATGTGAAAAAATATTCTCCCTCTAAGGGTGGAAAACTAGGGGATGAATCCGGTTTCACGCACTTTCCCGTAACCGATTACAATAAAACTTGGCAAACAGATGTAATTCCACGAACTTTTGAGGTCAGTTTTTTTTTATAAAAAAGTTGTGTATGGTTAGATACAGCCGGAAAAAGAAGCAAGGGCGTGACGTGTTAATGTATGTACATAATAGTATGTAAACACATTGTATTAGATTTAGTTAGCACCACCTAAAACCTTGATTAACCAAGCGATGTTATTCAAATGTAAACGAAAGGATTGTTGCTAATCAACTGGAAATTCGTGGCATATCGCAACGAGAGAAAAGCGTGACGATAGGTTTTTATGTTTATGTATTAATTGAATATTTTGTATTAGTACGTCATCATCGAGTATATAACCAGAAATAGAGACGAAATAAGGCCATCCATCCCTGGCAACTCATCAGGCAAATGGGCCTTATATCACTTTTGAATATCAACTCTTGTTTACGCTTAAATCACAAATTACAAAACTGAAATAGTACAGCGTCAACAACAGACCTATGTGTACGTCTTCGTATATTCCAAAAATATTCTGTATTTATTGTCATAAAGATAATATCGCGATAATATCGTTCTATTCGGTGGTGTGGGAAAAACATGTTCTATTCGATGGTGTGGGAAAAACATCTAATTATAAAACTAACAGAATCACATTTCATCTGTAATTAAATATCAAATATCTAATTTTGAAATTTTCGTCCATTATAGTAAAGCTCAAGTTAAACTGGTCGATCAAAAGTGAAACAATTGACGACACCCGTCATTGTTTCGAATTCGGGCTGGCCAATCGGAGCGCAGTTGTCACAGTACTAATTTAGCAGAATAATTTTCAAACAAATTAAATGACATTTCGTCGTATATGTGTGTATATGTATATATATATATATAATATATATATATTCTCATATGTACACATATTTTATTGACAATGAAAAGTCAGGTGAAGGCATACAATAAACAAAATTTCCAGGCATGTATGTATATATCAGATTGTTTACGCATTTTCGCGATTTGCAAAAATTTCGAGCACTGACCGTTACCTAACAATGATGTTTTGATGCTGACGTATAAATAAACATTTATTCGTCTTATATTGTAGACTTACTTGACAATCTTGAACATTAGCGAGAAGAGAGCGCAGAAGATCTCCTGGCAGTCCTCCAGCTCGAAGCACATGTTGAAAGACTTGACATAGGCAAGATTTTCTAGCAGGTAAAAGTAGCGCTTGAACGCTGGGTCCTTAGGATCGCGGAGCCCTTGCAGCTGGTTTATGAGGAACAGGAAGATTGTCTTCACCTGAAATAATATATCAATTAATTATGTACTCAGAATTTGCAGGCACATGGGTTTTGTCAAAGTTATGCGTCAGGGCTGACAGAGTCTGAAAAGGTTGTAAACCGCCAATAGGGAGCAATAAAATAGATTTACTCGATCCAAATATATTTATTGTATAAGGTAAATGGGCAAAAAGAAAGGTTGTAACAAAAAAGTTGTAAAAAACACAGGTACAGTATCAAAAACACTGCCTACTTAAATGCTACAAAAGGTCTGAGACAGTAAAACTTACCCCGAAAGGGCCGTATTTTTTACAAATATTACTGAATTTTAATGGTATTAAATATAGAATGGCGACGGAACGAAACAAAGTGATAATGACGAGGCACAGGAATTAGAGAACGATTCAAAATTTATGGGATGACGATGAAGGAGGTCGCAGCGTCACAAGTCTAAGGTGCCAATAATTTCACCAGCACCCTAACCCTTCTAAACCGGAACGCAGTAATGTTGACATTACTGCTTGGCGACGCCGGACGAACTCTTTAACAATGAGCTCTACTGCTACTTCAATAGTTAAGATCCAGAAGATCGATATGAAATCCAATATATCTATTATATTGGCGATTGTACTGTATATTAAGATGTGCGCTATTGTGGAAACCCTTTGGCAAATTAAATGCATGTCGGTAAAGAATGCAATATCGAAACAAACTGAACCACATAGCGAAAAAAAAGCGACTGCAAAAATTTGTAAAAGAAAGAAAAGCGAAAAGTATGACAAAACTTCATAAAAGGAATGTAAAAAAAACTATAATTACATAGGAGGCTGCGTCACAGCTGGTCGCCCTACAAAGTAAAATGAAGTTAAGAAGTTAACTTTGCAGCACTAGAACTCCTTGTGAAAGAGTCGTCCAGGGAAGAACTACCGCCAAGCAGTAATGTGAGCTAATGCTCACTAATCTGCTCAATAATCTGCGTTCCAGCTATGAAAGGTCAACTTATGTGTCAGGATGACGGGCGCAGTGGTAGTGCCCTTCAGATCTTTGCGATTTAAAGCTCTGAGTGGCACTGCAAATGTTATTTTTTTGAAAGTGAAAAGAGGTATTAATTCACATTATGATAGGAGCTTAGGCGTGGCGACAAAAATAGGACGTGAAGTTGAGAATCGAACTTTAAAATTTTTTTTTTTGTCGTAACTACGTGATATACAGATATAGACGTATAGACCATAGACAATATATCCAACAGAGTAATTAAATTGGCAAATTATGATTACCAGGGGGTCTACTCTCGATGTCCGTCCGACATCCGTCCGAAACAATTACTGTCAAATAAGTAATATTCGACAAAATTAAAAGACAAGTATCAAGTATGAAGCTTCATTCGCATCACGCGTCTTTTCATTTGGTCAAGTATTGCTTATTTGGCAGTAATTGTTTCGGACGGATGTCGGACGGAGATCGAGAGCAGACCCCCAGAACTGAGAACAGACCGACATTATATTATAACTAAAATCTGAGAGAAGTAAAAATGTGAAATGTACATAAATAAAAATTGTGTACCGTGGCAACTAACGCAAACAAGCACGCATTGAATCACAATTGATTTCTCACATATGCTAATTGCGTAAACAAACCAATTGAACACCGGCACGGGGGCTTTATTATGTCGCTTAACATTCGATGCGAAAAATGCACGTGGCGTTGACGACAAAGATTATTTTTTAGCATACCTCATAGCCAAATGTCATATATGGAATTTTTGACGTAACATGATCGTAACTGGGTAAGAAATCTCGGATAAACGTCGTGTGTACCTGTTTTACAAAAAAATATTTTATCTATTTGTTAAAGAAAAGCCACAGCCTATTAGAATTAAAATATACATACTATAAGACTTTTTTTTATAGTATCAGTAGAGTTCCTAGTAAAAGAGTTCGTCCAGAAAACCACTTCAAGCAGTAATGCGAATATTACTGCGCTCCAGTTTTGAAGGGTAAGGGTCCTCATGAAATTAAAAGCAGTAAGCTAGTAGGCCTTACACGCTACTGTAAAGGAAAAATGGTGAGATTACAGGCGCATTGGACTTGTCAAGTCAACTTATGTCTCAGGGTGACGGGCGCAGTGGCAGTGCCCCTCAGATCTTTACTATTTAAGCTCTGAGGACACTGCAACTATTACGGAGAGGCGTGTAACGAACCATCAGCCGCACGACTTGTTCGGCCCTTCACTTCAAAGTCAAAGTTAATTAATAATTTATTCCATAGGTAAAATTTTTCACTTCAAAACGTCATTTTTTAAGCTACTGCTCGTTCACTACGCTGACATCCCTGAGAAGAACGAGCAAGAAACTCTAGGGATTGCTCTTTTCAAATAAACTTAAATGCTATGGAATAAATACCCTTTGAATCATAATTGCGTGGAATCTAGACTCTTGATGCCTTTCCGTACTTCTTTATCTAAAACATACTCTTCAATTTTGTAATATGACTTTTCAATTAAAATACTGCTAATTTTTAAACTAAGGAAATGATAATCTTAATATATTCTCCGGAATCTTATTGTAAAAACGTATACAGTTCCCCATAAAAGAATCGTTTACCTTAGTTAAACGAAATCGTGGTACCATGAGTTTGGACTTAGTTCTTAAGTTAGGTTAATATTATGGACATCTTCTTTCTTAATGAAATTATGTATATTTTTACGTGCTTACAAAATATTTCAGTAAATGTACAGTGATGCAATAGTCATGATACCAGTCTCCTTAAACTTGTCTCTGAGAGAAATCCGAGAACCTAAATGGTACACTAAACGAATCGCTCGTTTTTGCAACATAAATATGGTTTGTATATCTGCCGCTTTACCCCACATGAGAATCCCGTAGGTCATTATACTATGAAAGTAACTAAACTAGTCTAGCAGTAGCAACATCGGTAAGCTCACGTATTCTACGGACTGCGTATAGGTAACTTATTACAAAGTCGAAAACTTTTTTGTCCGAAATAACATTTGTTCGAATTTTCATTAGACCGAATACCGAATTATAACGAAATGTTGTTCTTTCAGGATATGTTGAATGTTTATCGCAAAGACACGATTAGGTTCGGTTAGGTTAGGTTAAGTTAGGTTTAAAAGAAAAACATTTTCCTCTCAAAATTATTTTCAAGGTTATGAAATTTCGACCACACTTTATTTCTGGAAGATGTCATTTCGGACTACTTATAGGTAATCCTGCGTATGCAGCAGAGCTTAATCTGCTGACTAAGGAAGATATATATGTGGAAATCATTGAAGTTTACTATATAAGGTCGGGAGTGACCTTATATAGTAAACTTCAAAAAGACACTTGATATTGTAAAAAAAAACATCGTGATGCAACCTGCGTGTCTGAAGAAATTACATAACCCTTGGGAAACGAGTGAAGTGGTCCAATCCATTAGGCCAGGGTGGCGGACTCAGAGGACTATCTTCCTACTTCAGACCCGTGTTGAGTGTGCAACTAATTAAAAATCCGACTTAACGTACGCAACTGCTACCTTGGTATTCAATGGGGGTTTTCAACAGGTTACCTAAGTAAACCAGAATGAGAAGTTGCAACGTCCAAAAATAAATGCGTTTGCAAGAAATTTAAAAAAAAAAGATTTTATTTCAAAAACATGAAAATAAATATGAAGGCAAATACTTCTCATTTTATTTATATTACGTAGGCCAGGCAAGACGAAATACATATATTTAATATTTGACCACATCGCACACGTTGCTCTGATGCCAAAGTAAGTAACTAACGCACTTGTGTTATGGAAATCGGAAACAACGACGGTACCACAAACACCCAGACCCGAGACAACATAGAAAAATTCGTTTCTACATTGACCCGGCCGGGGATCGAACCCGGGACCTCAGAGATGGCGGCACTATGAAAACCGGTGTGCAATCCACTCGATCACTGAGGTCGTCAAAATATGATTACAATATACTTGCACATTGAAAAGCACATCAACCTTAAACACAGTTTTAACACTTTGTACGCATGGTACCCCTACTAATTTTAAATCATGTTAATTGTGTGTCGATAGAGCGTCAATGGCAGGAATTACAACAACTAGTGCTTTCAAATGAAATGAAATGAAATGAAATGAAATGAAATGAAATTTTTATTTGCCTTAAATAGATTAGAGATATAGATTATATAGATATATATAGATTAGAGATTTCAAGAAAATTAGCTGAATTGGGGCCCAGGTCCCATGGTCATAACTGACTGACCTAAGTGACCGACTGACTGGTCATCCTGATTGAGTGACCGGTCAGCCTGACTGATTGGAAAAAACGAATAGCCGCTTATATTCATGTATTTTATAGCGATTTATATCCAAAAAACAATAAAATACTTTAATTTTCAATGTGTAGTAATCGTGAAAATTTAAGAACTCAGTAATATTATGTTCTTACTTGTTCCTGATCTTTATAAGGCGCCTCCGGAGCGTAGACCCTGAGCACGTCAGCGATGCAGCAGGCTATGAGCAGCTGGACATCGCGTGAGGAATGCGTCAGGAAGAATTCGTCAGCCAGGTGCAGCGCCAGTGGTATATACTGCTGGTACACTCCTTCATCCTGGCCCATACCCTGAAGGGTGTGGGCCAGCGCCTGGATAATGAAAGTGTAATGTAAATAATGTTTAATGGTGGTAGATAGGTACGTTCTTGTAGAATCCGCTTGGTTGCTTTGATGTTCCAGGTAGAAAGGAGTATTAACATAACGACATGTGGATCTTGGTGGTCCAAGTTTGTACTGCACTGGATGAGAAGGTCTTGGGTTCGATTACAGGTGGCACAAGTTGGAAAAACCAACTTTTCTAAATTGGTTTTGGTCTTTTTTTCATATGTAACAGCCCGTTACCTATATGACATGAAATAGAATTCACTCTGGAGCACTATCTGGACTTTACAACACAACACAACAATTTAAATCTAATTGTAGAAATAAATTGGTCCAACCAAGAATCGAACTAGAGACCTCCTCATACAGCATCCACAATTTGCAAATTGTTGAGCCACGAAGGTCATCGAGTATACACACATTACAATACATTGTGTGTATTGTAATAATATATTTCCTGTAGAGCCTTCATAATATTAAATGAAAACAATAAAGCCTAAAATACTAACAAAACCTTAAATCATCTGTTACTTATACTATGACAATTGAATTTTTAATGTTTGTAGGGGATTCCTTTTAAAGTTAACTCGTAATACATGCTCTTCCATTCCTATCCTTTACGATGTATGTGCAGTCTCTAATGTATTTACTAAATACCGATCAATACATCCTGAAACATACCTTAAGCCGCCGAACCAATTCATCTGGACCTAGGTCATCGGTGATGGGCCGGCAGCCTTGTGGGTACACGATTTCCGCCATGCTGCCAATCTGTGAAATTAATAATAGTATTTATTAAGAAAAGTGAGTGGTTTACAAAACACTTACAGAACATAATATTAGTATGACAGATGGTCGCTTTGTTTTTTCACTTCAGCTGATTGTGTCACTTTTTTTTATTATTATTTATTTATTTGAATCACGCGACTATGGCCCATATAATATATAACGTAAATACTAACATACATTAACTCACATTAGTAGCAGTGGAGCTCCTGGTGAAAGAGTTCGTCCAGGGAAGTACTGCCACCTTACCTATTCCTGCCGCCAGGCAGTAATGTCAGCATTACTGTGTTCCAGTTTTGAAGGGTAAGAGTGCTGGTGAAATTACAGGCACATGGGACTTGCCAACTTAAGTCTCAGGGTGACGAGCGTAGTGGTAGCGCCCCCCAAATTTTTTATTTTTAAAACTCTGGGTGGCACTGTATTGTACAGCTTACCATCAGGCGCACGATTTGTTCGTCCCGAGAAGTGTGACTACAGAGCAAGGGTCTTGAGTATTCAACAGCCCTGATAGCTGCCTACAGTGTCAAACGTAGAGAAGCTCTGCCATTGGACAGGAATGGCATCAGAATGCTCTCTAGAGTCTTAACAGGACACTGTGACTTAAACAAGCATATGTCAAATATTGGGCATAGAGAGTGTAGATTCTACCACGAGGCAGATGAAACTCCTGTTAATCTTCTCACCCAATGCTACCCCTGATGGGCGTACGAAGCTCTATACTGGGAAGACACATGGTACAACCAGAGGGGTGTAACGCGATTAGACGAAGTCCTCAATGAGCACATCAGTTGATCATTTAAAGTAGTATAGCCAATGGCCGTATAAGCAAGAGAGAAGACAGTTATTTAGTAAAGGCACTTTTAAACATCCCAGTGGAAGAGGAAAACCCCTGGCTACATAATCTAAAAATAAAATGGGATAAGGGCACAAAGAAAAAGTTATGGTTATGATGGTTTTGACCTATATAGTGTTTAGCACTAATTACATCTTGGAGCCAAGACCTCAAATGTTGAACTGTTGCATTTCTTTAGAACCAATTGATTATACCAACTGTAGCTGAGGCATATGTCTTTCTAGGCAGAAGTTTGATATGGCCATCAAAGGGCAATGATGACAAAAGAAATGCAAAAGTATGCAGGTTTCATTCATTAAACACAAAAAAAAAGTTTACCAAACAAAGTTCACCTTATTACATTTAGATTATTATTTCATTGTAGACAATTCTCTATTCTCCAAACACATTCAAGGGACATAAACTTTTGACAATTTACTTTAAGATTGTTCTATATGAAGGTAGAATATCTTCAAACTCATTAAGCATGTAATAACGTCTATGTAATTACATCACAAGTGCTTATATTTGTTAGTCTTTACTGTGTGACGTTTGTGGAATTGTAATTATTCTAACAATCCATTCCAGATGCACCAGTGCAAATACGCGTTAAGGTCCCACCAAAGCAGTTGCCGCGGAATCTTCTTGAGTCAACGAGATAAAGCCTTTTTTCTACTAAGACTAAGGATATAAAAAAGAAACTATTCTCCGGATTTAAATCGCGTTTGACATGACATGGACACGGTTGACAGTCAACCGTGACCATGGGACCTGTAAAGGGCCCGAAACGTCGGTTTGGTTGAAAAAACAAATATACGCGATTTAACCCTTTATAGGGTAGACTTGAAATTAGTACTACGATTGTAACCATCCGCCCCACCTGACAGTAAGGTCGATTTTACGAATACTGTTGTGTGAAACGTCACCCTTATGGTAATAACGCGTAGTCCTTGAACGGGCAGAGTTCACCAAATTTAACCACCAGCGTTATCTTAGTCACAAATGGCTGCAATGGCGCCAAATATTGGTGGTTACAAATGTGACTTCTGTGCATTTAGTCCATACGACGAGCAGAGTAAACGTGCCGCTGTGTATTTTAATTGTTTTTAAATGGATTATTACACTTTAAGGCCTTCAAGGTAAGTAATTTAGTTATTTATTAATATTACATTAATGTGATATACAATTTTTTTTAAATTAAATTACTCTTTGGGCTACAATTACATCTCAAATTTGTATGCCGAATTTCATCAATTTTAGGTTATGTTTTGAAGTGTCTCGTATTTTGTCTTTCATGGTGATAAAATTTAACTACCCGAGTACTTTATTAGTATTTTCTATTAGTAAAAATATTCTTCTTTTCGATAAATTCACACAATTAATCCTAATAATTTGGGCAAAGATAATTTTTCAAACCAAAATGTAGGTATTTTTAGCGTGCAGGTTTGATCAAGTTATCAGAGTAATGTGGGTAGCTAACAATTAGTATTTTTTTTTTGCTAATAAGTCAGAGTCGATGTTTTATGTCAAATTATGTTTGTTTTAGATGTCTAGAAAAATTTTGGACCTTGACAAAATGCCCTACGAAGAATACGAAGCCATTCTATGGGCGATTGATGAAGAACAAGCTGAGAATTCCGATGTTGGGGGCGATTCTGATCCAGAGGATCTCCTTCCTCTTAGTGTGTTGCCATCATCACAAAGAACGCGGAAATCTGTGATTAACTTACCAGAGTCTCCACATGTTTCTCAGTCATCTACAGTTCCGCCACCGCCTATTAGAACTTTGTCTGCTGATGAAGATGATATCCCGTTTTTGCATCAAGAAGCCGAACACTGTTTCGACTTACTACAAAATCCCTCCAGAGATATTCCAATGGATGATTCTCCCATACCTATATCTCCAATACCTTCGCCTGCTCCGTCATCAGTTCCTGTGGAGTGCGGTCAGCCTAGACGAAGCCGTGGCGTCCGAACTAGAGGTCCAAGGGTAAGAGGGAGAGTTCGTACTACCATTAGGGGGCAGCAGCGTTCAAGCTCGAGTAGACGAGGAGGTCACAGCGTTCGAGGTCAACAAGTAAATCAATCTGATCCGTATAAATTTCGTAAAATATTTCGAGAACCACCCGAGCATAAAAATCATAAATTTGGCACTTACAGTGGTATTAATGTAGAGATCGATTTATCTTCACCATTAAAAATTTTTATGTTATTTTTTACGAATCAGATGTTTCAGCATATAGTAGATCAAAGCAACCTGTACTCTGGAAACAAATTGAACCTTTATGTAAAGGAACTTCACGCATTTTTCGGTATATTAATTATTATGGGCTTCAACGTTCTTCCTTCTGTACGTCACTACTGGTCTACTGATCAAAACTTTTTTTGTGCTCGCATATCAGGCTTGATGACTGTCAAAAGATTTCTAAAGATCCTCCGATACTTACATCTGAATGACAACTCTACCATGAAAATCCGCGGCGATCCTGAGTATGACAGACTCCACAAAGTTCGGCCCCTATTGAACATGCTCTCTGAAAATTTCAAAAAAGTCTTTAGCCCATCTCGGTTTCTTAGTGTTGATGAAAGCATGATACCCTTCAAGGGTCGCTCAATGCTAAAGCAATATATGCCATTAAAACCGATCAAGCGCGGCTTCAAAGTCTGGGTCTTATGCTGTGCTGTAACCGGATACATGTGTTGCATGGAAATCTACGAGGGCAAAAAAGATAAACCATCATCAGAGGTTGGGTTGGGCGAAGAAGTGGTTATGAAACTGACGCAGACTTTTGTAGGTCTGGGATTTTGCGTTTATTTTGATCGATTTTTTAATTCGCTGTGCCTGTTGACGAAACTTTTGTCCAAACAAATCTTCGCTTGCGGAACATTACTGGCAACAAGAAAATACTTTCCCAAGGAACAATTGCGCGACGACAAAGATCTTGCTACAGGTGACTTTGATAGTGTGATGGATGGCTCCGTTTCTATAACAAAATGGAAAGATAGAGGAAAGAAATGCGTCTTGATGGCATCAAATATGCATAATCCTGCTGCTATTACATCCGTTTTGCGAACTAATCGAGAAGGAAGAAAAGAACAAGTGAAATGCCCCAAATCAATAGCTGATTACAATATATACATGGGAGGTGTCGATCGTTTCGATCAATTAATGGCATCTTACACCGTATCATGGAAAAGTCGTCGTTGGTGGCTAAAAATATTTTATTATTTGCTTGACTGTGCTGTTGTGAACTCCTATATTGTTTACCGGGAGGTAGCTAAAGACGTTCTTCCTCATGCTAAAAGGCTTTCTCATTTGTCTTTTCGAAGTAAGTTAGCTGATGAGCTGATATCTGACTACATGAGTAGAAAACGACAATCTGGAATTACAAACAAACCCAAGTTTGTTGCTGATCAACCTCATTTCCCCGAGAGAGCAACTTGTAAACGCTGTGGATACTGCAGTACAAAAGAAAAACCGGTCCGTAGTAGAATAGGATGCAATATTTGTGAGGTGTCCCTTTGTTTAGGATGTTTCAAAGATTTTCATTTGAATGGTTGTAAGAAGATGTGCCATCAATAAGAATTTTATTTAAATTTATAAACTACATTTTGAAGGGCTTGGTCCCCAGATGATTGATGATTATGTACGCAGGATTATTTTTTATTTAATAAGTACATTTTGATAAGTTTACTCTGTTTGTTCTTCTTTAGACTGATTACTTTGAAACTATGTCTGTTAATTACTGTGTAAGACTGTTTATTATCTGATAATAAAGAATTTATGTAATTTAGTTTAGATCTCAAGAATGCTGTCTAAGACTGATTGTTATTGTAGGCATGACAAATTGTTACTATTGCATTAAAATTTAAATTTTTATTAATAAATACCAGTTCAAGACTGTTAATGAGTATTTTAAAATAAACATTTTTGATATTTCTTATAAGAACCTGTTTTTCTTTTTCGTTTGTCCACAATTACTGTCACTGACCCTAAACAGTCATGGTTACAAATATAACCACCGGCTTATTACCTAAATGGTCTTGGTTACATATGTAACCACCCTGTACAGACAAAACCAGGATACTTGACTAGTTAATATTTCATTTTTCAGGGTTCCATTTTAAACCCATTTAGTGTTGAGATACCAAAAGTTGTTAATTTCTATTCAAAAAATTCTGCCCTATAAAGGGTTAAATCCGGAAAAATAGTTTCATTTCCTATGTGTAACAATCGCGAAAACCTCAGAACTCGATAGACATAAAAATGGTTTTAGTCATCAGTCGCGTAGTCTACACCAGAGCAATGTCATTGACGTCTTTTACATGATTCTTACCATGGACATAGAACATTTTCTGATTGGCTTAAGCAGATTCCACATCAACTGGTTGGATGGAAACCCTACTAACTCCTAAAGTAACCTACTCCTCATATGGCAATAAATTTTGATACCACAATGAATTGCACTGGTAACACAAGAATAAGAATTCAAGTCTGGGCAGGTCTTATATATATATCTATATATATAATCTTAACAGGGCATTTGGTTTGAACAAACACATGTCAAATATTGGCCAGAGAGAAAATAGAGAATGTTGATTCTGCCATGAGTCAGATAAAACTCATGTGCATCTCCTCACCCAGTGGTGCCCTCTAATGGGCGTATGAAGTTCCATACTGGGTAGGCACAGGCCACACCCAGAGGACATAAAGACATACAGAGCCAGAAAAGTCCTTCAGTTCTTTAATGCTGTTGGCCTTTGCTCCGTAATGTAATTAGTGGTGATCACAATAGATCAGTTAATGTTCATAGTGATGAGCAGCTATGCATATACATCAACTATAGGCCAAAATATCTTAGTACCAGGATCGCACCCAAACCATTAATTTATTATCACAGAAAATTCCTGGAGAAGCTCTGATAGCACAATTAGGACTCTGCCGCACACATGTCAAATAGGCGCAACAACATTCAAGTTACAAAAAAACCAGTCTGTAACAACTTACCATAACACCATCTGCATTATATGCTCTTGTTGAAATTGTGATTGTTCTAACTACATCCTTTGTGTGACCCGATTAGCACAACAACTAGATTCCTACTTAAATCAGGGTCTCTACAGTATTTGATGCTTCGATATAGGCTTTGATCAGAATTATCAATGATCAAAAACTATATAAACACAAAAGAGATCAAACTTGGAAAACTAGCATTGTGTTATCTGGGTATAAAATTAAATTTTATACCCAGATAATTTTCCATAATATAATGCACAGATCGGTGGCAGAAATAGGTATGATGGCAGTATTACCCTGGTCAAATTCTTTCAAAAGGAGCTCTACTGCTACTAAGTTAATTAACAAGCAACCTGTTTGTATGGTCCTACTACTCGGCATGGGGGCCTTCCTTAACAAGTGCATATCATGTCATTATTTATCACAATGCTTAGGCTGTGTGCATATTTGAGAATCCTACAGCCTATGAAAATATATGAAGTCCTGATCTAATTAGACTACTCTTGAACAATTTTGGTACAGTAAGACGCAACTTCAGTGGTCCAACTGTTTATACTACGGGTACTGGATGAGGAGGTCTTGGGTTCAATTCCCATTAGGACCAATTTGGGAAATGACCTCTTCAAAAATGGTTTTGGTCTGGGTGTACTGGGAGGTGCCACAGAGTGCATTGTGTTGCTCATAGTAAATGGAATTCCCTAGTTTGAGTTCAGGCCATTGATGTAGTTGTCAGGCACATTATCATTACTAAATATAATATAGTAAAATAGGTACCTTGGTTTGAAAAATGTATTTGCACAGTGTACTTTTAGTAAGCCATCTTAGCATTTTTCAATGCAAATCATTGCAGCATCAAAACTAAGAAGAAATCATCACAACTAGCCAGTATGAACTCAGCCTAACCATTGTTATCATATAAACACTAACCTACTCTACAACTTCCTGAGCAGTATGCATATACCTAGTCCAAACAAAATACGTACAAGCATTTACGGACTATAGGTGTTTTTGTTACGCGAAAACAACATTATTTACACAGCCAAATCATCACCAGGATATACAGACCAGGAATACACAGAAAATATTGTTAAAACACTTATTTGCATCACGATTCGACACACAATCATGCCTCACTCGGGCAAGCGCAATCCTATAATGGATCATTCATTTTTTACAACCAAGCAAACATCATAACACTTTCGAGGTTAATCCACGTCCGGCATGCTAGATCTAACTAAAATACACCAAATCCACATACCATCAGGATATAATTATGGTGTTATTGCCGATAATCATCAAAATACTCACAAGAACTCATAGACGTGGTCCTGCGTTCCCGATGTTTACAAACCACCACAGCACTCGAACTTACGGGAAACGATCACAGAAACAACATAATAGTACCGTCAAAACATTACTGGAAATCAAACCACGATTATAAATGAATGTCCTATTGATCTAAATACATAGAAATTTTTTGTAATAAGTTTTCATTAAATCTGTGTGGACGCCAAACTGCGGGAAAAACTACTGTGAAGTTAGCCTCAATTCTGATTGCAAACCAAGGTCACTTAAGTTGTCTACGGTTTTTGACGTGTCGCTTCTCCTTGTCTACGCCATTATTTTTTGGACCAATATACACTAGTTTTATTTGGGTAAAAGAAATAACGCTATACAAAAGTTGTTTGTTCTTGTATCTCTTTCTACTTCACATAGACCTATTTAAAACAACTTTTTTTTATATAACGCAGAAAAAAGCAGGTTTTTGTAGATACAGTTTTTTCACGAATTCATTCTTAATGTTTTAATAAGTATTATTATGTTTTAAGTTTCTTAATCCATTGTTGCTTGTTTAAGCTGATGGCGCTATAGCCAATGCTCAACAAATAAATAAATAATACATAACGCAGAGGAAAAAAATGGCGGTACTTAGTACTTACATTATGTACACGAATTAATTTTTAGTTTATGTATATTACGTTGTGCGTTTCTTGACTATTTGCTACCATTAAGCTGATGGCTCTGAAGCCAATGCTTTATAATTAAATAATAATAACATAACGCTGTGAATAATAAGATTTTTTGAGATTCGAAGTTTCCGCTTTGAAAAAATGGAGGATTTTTGTAGTTACAGTTTTTTTCACAAATACTCTATAACCAATGCTCAACAAACAAATAATAAAAAAATTTGATTTTTAAATGGATTTTAGTTTATTTTTTCCATCCTCTAAGGATTTTAGTAAAGAAAAAAAGGCGGGTTTTTATTTTATGTAGTCACAATTGTTACATGAATTACTTTGAGCAAATTACGTTTTTAGTTCTTTAATTATTTATTACATTTGGTGAAGCTCGCCAACGCTCAATAAATAACTATTATTTATTTACATGACGCCATAGTATGTAACTGCAAACTCATAATATAAAACTCAATTTAATGTAGTACATACCAAAAAAATTATTTTGCTGTTTTAGAAATCCGAATAAGTTTCAATGATAAATGTTCTAATAACAACCAGTCGACTGGTATACAATGGCTACTAAGCAAATAAGATGCTTTCACGTATTGTTCTAGCGAGTATCAAACCTTCTTGATGCGTTTTCTCACCAAATTCTTCAACTTTTTATCCTAAAAATGTTGTGTTACGTTAAGAAATAAATGAAAATGCTATAACAATTTTCTTTTTATTTATTTTGATGCTTCATTTGAAAATTTTAGACCCTTCACATAATTGTAAACATCTGAAAAATGTGATTTCGATAATGACCTTATAGGTCGCAAGCAAAGGATTGAAATAATTGTGTTATTTACACGAAAAGTATTCTTATCCTTAATTAAAAATAAAATAGCAGCAGTTAGGTTGTCATGTTGCTACAAAAATCTTATCAATATTTTGGAGACGCCAATCTCACTCATTGTGTACAGTCCGCAGTTAAGTGAGTTGTAATACAAAAAACAGGTCAAGAAGATTTTGTGTAAGGGCGCGTTTCCCTTATGCATTATTTATGAATTTTGAGTATTGCGTGTAACTTGACAGATGAAAACGTGATATATACGCGTAATATCTTTCATCACTGAGAAATCATACAAACCTGTATTTGCATAACAAATGGGCGCTCCTGACATACAATGACGACTTCAAGTGGTATAAGAATGGTAACGTGACACCACCAACGGCTGCCACTCCCTCACTAGTAACTAAGTAGAATATTGCTGGAATAAGTTGGTACATACTATATTTTATACTATAAACGGCAACATTTATATGAAAATTTTTTTTATTGAGATCTATTTTCTTTTATTATATGCATTTATTATCGTACACTGAAAAAGAAATTACAAAAGATACGCACGGCCACGTACTAAAATTAACGTACTCTATGTCATTACCGCCAAAACTCTCTAGTAATTTTTTTTGTCCAATGGAGAATTATGTGAATTTTGTATACATGTAGCTGTGACCGATCGTACAGTGAAAAGCACATCAAAGTTGACGCTTTGGAATTTGGAATGTTCTTATAATATCCGGCATTAAGTTGAATTTCGTGTCGAGTCGCGCATTTTCATAAAAGATAGATTTAGTTTTACTTTTGTTTGTTAATTTCAGTGAATTTTTTAAAATGAAGCAATTACATGAAATTCTAAGTGTAAACTCCAGTGGAGTATATAAGCTTCTTGCTTGTAACGCGATGTTTGCGTGCGTTTGAATCGATTCACTACAGCGCGTCTGCGGCGCGTATACGCACAGATGACGCGTGTACACGCGCAGATGATGCGCGTTTACGGTGCCGTAATAATATGGAGCGGTGGCGTGAGTGCGCGCCCATGCCCTGCCCCTTTCCTCAGTCTTGCAACGCGATGTTTAATTCAATGCAAACGCGCATTTGTGTCGCGTTTGAATCGATACAAACGCAACAATCTGCTTTTCGAACATCTTCATCGCACGTTCAAAGCGCGTTCGTGAAATGCGCATCGTCCGCACGTATAAAATATGCCGTGTGCATAGACCCTAAGTGTCAATTTTGACGTGCTCTTAAATCTATATAAGAATAATTTAAGAGTTAAATTTTACAAAAAATAGTATAGAATTATATTTTTGTTTACAAGATCAATTAATTATAACTACTATCAATTTTGAATGTTAAAACGCCAAATACAGTTTTACTGATTATTTTTTAGCTTAATATTATCATTAACAGAAGTGGCCCCAATAACTATGAGTATTACAAAATTAATGCTAATATTACTAATCTAACTCCAGTTTTCTGAAGGATCCAGCAGTTGAGTGAATGTCTTGAGTTAAATCGTTCTTTTCAAGAGCGTATAGGTCGATGACCATTTCATCCAAAGCCAAAAGTTCGTCTCTGTTTTTCAGAAGTTTTCTTTTCAACTCTTCAATCATGTCTCTCAAAGGAACAGTGCCGCCGTACTCCTTTGGTAGAATCGCTGGATCCACGTGTTTTGTTAAATCTTCACAGGTACGATGGAACTGCAAGCAAATTAAAACTTTATTTTAAAATCACATGAAATATTTATATTTAAGTTTTATAATGATGCTAAGGTTGGCAACAGAGTAAAGTTGGTTGCGTTTCAAAATTGTTTCTTTATGTTGGTATTTGGGAACTGAGATGACGCTGATTGGTTCCGAAAATGCAATTGCGACAATTTTAAAATATGCTTGCTTGTTAAAAAGTTTCCATATGATTCGGTTACTTTTAAAGATACTTTTAATTGTGAAAATCCTTGTGAAAATCTTGAAACTTACCATAACACGATCCTTTAGTTTATCGCTAAGCAGAGAAACTGCAAACTCAAAGAATCTGGCGCCGTAGTGCGGAATATTGACGAAATGTGTGCGTTTGTGACGCATTGGTGTTGAATTCTGTAAAATTTAAGTGTCATGACAGCCCTTAGAGGATGGAAAAAAAAGTCAGCCCATGATAAAATCATTAAGCCATTTAGGTCAAAATGTAAAGTTGATGAATATATTGTTTTTAGCTTTATTCTAAGGTTTTTAGTAAGAATATTCCGATACTTTTTGATAGCAATAGCGCGAAAAAGTTATGAGTATGACATATATAACCATTACTTTTGCTTTTGTTAAAGAAAATACTTTTTTAAATAGCGCTATAATATTTTGTGCCAAAATTAAAATTAAGTTCAAATCAATTTCCATACAGATAAGTCAAAGAGTATACGCAGCTCTTCTACATCAAAATGTTATAGGACATTGAATTGCAGAGTCCGCAAAAGCCCTGGAATTACGAAACTGAAAACTTGATACCGGCGAAATTTTAAACAGGGCACCGCCAATAAACCAAAGAAGAATATTCCTACATCATATTAGTGTTCATATATATCTGTCTTTCTCTTCACAAATGCTTTAGGCGCCGCTCAAACGTGTTTTGTGTTGGATACAAGCAACCGGCATAGTTGGTGGTATATAGTTATAGAAGCAAATATTTAATCTCGTAAAATCGCGGTTGCCGCAACCGGCGACTGTGTCAATTTAGTATTAATTGTATGAAAATAGACTATTCGCTTCTAGTTACGTGTTGCTTATATACAACACAAGACACACGCGTGCGCAGCGACTTATTCTTTCACATTCAAGTTTTTACCTGTATACAATTAAGCATAATTCTGACGTCAGTCAGGGACCAAAGACTGACATGAGGCATCTGCATGCCAGCCTCGTCATTGACATGAGAGTATCCCAATAATTGGGAGCGCGGCTCATCGAGCAACAGCTCCACGATCATGGAGTGCACTCGCGCCATGACGCAGCTGTCGTACACGTGCGGGTCAAACCGACCTATGAAACAGGAAAAGGGATTATAAATTATTTATTAAAGGTTAAGGTAAACAGTGCAATCACCCGCGGTTGTAGAGGTAGAGCCAACCTGATAATGGCGGAAAGCGAGTTTGGTACTTGGTACTTGGTGCAACGGGCTGGTATCCGCAACTCGACGACAAAGCGCCTATTTTGCGTGTGGGGAAAGCGAGTTTACTAGTATAATAAGTTAAATTTAGTAGCAGCAGAGCTCCTTGTGAGAATTCGTCCAAGGAAGTACTGCCACCTTACATAATTCTGCCGCCAAGCGCTAATTTCAGCATTACTGCGTTCCGGTTTTGAAGGGTAAAGATGCTGGTGAAATTACAGGCACATGGGACTTGTCAACTTATGTCTCTGGGTGACGGTCAAAGTGGCAGTGGTCCTAAGATCTTTGCGATTTAAAGCTCTGAGTGGCACTGCAAGTGTTATGTTGCTTACTATTACCACCAGGCGCACGACTTCTTCGTCCCGTCACATGGTATAATAAACCTAAAAAGTCTGGAAGGCGATCGCAACATTCAGTAGGTACCACTGTCATGGCGCTGAAGGAAACGGCGGAACGGGAGCGTGAAGACGATGTCAACTCGCTTTCGATTCCGAGGTTCTTCCGATTCCATCTTAACCGTATGCCACCTTAATGGGGACCCAGTAAGAGATCGGGGGTTCTGTTTCCTGCAATAATGATCCCGTGCTGGAAGAAGCCCCTAATGCTACGGGGTACCTTAAACGAATTATGGAGTCGCATAACCGTCTCTAGTGGAAACCCTGCGGTTACACTCGCGATTTTAGTCGGTGGGAGTCCGACATAACCACTCCATCACCCGGGTCGAATAGTATCCATGATGGATTTCGCCTGGATAAAAAAAAGACAATACCTAATCATAAACCCACTCGTCTGCTTGTTTGTCTCCTACATGTTAAAAAAGGAAACATACGATCTTATTGAAAGTCTTAGGCAACGCTTGTTAAGTCCAGAGCCATATAATTGTCATTTTCCATCAGGTGTACCAACAGGACTGTCATAAAAAACCAGACAATCACCAAAATATTAAACAATATCAAATAAATTTGTTTGTTCTTCATGGTTCTTATATCTAGGTACATTGTAGACAATAAGTTTTGTGTCGAAATGTAGTTAGTAGGTATAGGTAGGTATATTCCGCAACAGATTATTCAATAACGAGTATGTAGATGTGCAGAATCAACAATCCATGAAGAAGATATGTTACAAATAACAAAGTATACACTAACGATGTCTCATTAATGCAAGAAATATTTATTATTTCTTGCATTGTGTAATCCAAACAGTTGCAGAAAATTCGCTGTAAAAATAAATAAAATATTATTTTACTTATTGCAAAATGAATTAACGCTTACAAAAAAACTAGTTTATAGCGAAAGCATTCTGACTGGCCTTGGAGATAAGTATATGAGGAAATCCTTACTCTGAATTTCGGAGCATGTAGAAGTCTTTTTAAATTTTTTTTAATTATCTTTAAGAACTTTAAACGTACTACATCTACAGTGCATCAGAATTTCCGTAATTACTTTCATCGTACCTGATTGTCCAAAACCTGTAGAGTTATTTGCCTCCCTATCAATTTATTAAGAATCTTTAGAGATAGAAATCCAAGAAAACGTTCACCCAGTGTTATTTCACCGTCACACGACAACTGATTGTCGAACCTGAAATCAATCAGAAATTATGTTTAATGACTCACCCATGCAAGAAAGCACAACTCGTCTTCCCTCCGAATCCCTCCTAGGCAGAGGCACAAGATATCCAGCATCGATCACAGCTGCGATTTTCGGGTCAAGGGGGTCAAGTTTCTGGAACCATTGAGGGTACATTTGCCGAATGGTCAGGTAGCGCTCTAGCATAGAACAAGCTTGCGGTATGGAGAACTTCTTGGTACGGAGGAAACGAAGCAAGAAGGGCGCGTCTGTAAATAAACCAGTCTCATAAAAAATATTCCAAATATGTAAATACAAATTGGTATGAGCCCTTTGGCCATGAAGGATTATTTAGTTACTTGAACAAGTGACAAATGCACTTTCAACTAATTGTTAAAATCCGCCAAAATATGTATGCACCACCGCCCTTCGTATTTATACCATAAAGTAGCACTCCTCTGTTCCGGAGTAAGTTTTGAAAAAGCTAGCGGAATCACAGGCTACGGTAGAGGATAGAACTTATGGATTCTTCCTTAGCCTAAGACACCTAAGCATGGAAAATGTTTGTTTGTTTAAATGGCGAGTCGACTGCATCGCATTCGGCAGACGAAGTAGTCTGTCGACAGTCGGCAGACGACTCGGTATAAATGCGCCATTACTCTTCATGAGATAGCTGCATGTTAACTGTCTGACATATGATAGCCTAATGTAAAATTTTGCATGATTTTCTGATTAACTTTTGTTCCATTACTTACCAGTCCGACATTTCTTAATGGCAGGATGTTTTTCAATGAAATGCCTCATCTGAGCTAAAGCCTCCTCTCTCAAAACAGGCTCTTCCCTCAGTTCCAGACGAGCCTTCTCCTTTAACTCCGGCGGCAGTTCCCCCGTCTCCCGTTCATTGTTTTCAATGATCTGAACCCGTTCATCGTCTGTAAGACGAGGGGAATCCAGGTCTGGCTTAGGTTCATGTTGTCGGCACTCTTCGGGTTGAAGGACTGATGTTGCCATGGTTTCTGAAAAGAAAATACCTATGTAATTAAAAGCTCATATGAAAAAGAATAACGCTATATATACTATACGTTACTGACGTGTAAATACGGTTTCTAGAACTCATGATCAGAACTACCAACAATGAATCAGTTTTTTAGTCCAGTTGGATAAATATTCTTCGTCCAAAAAAGATAGCTTTGACCTATGTCCATATTCGGCAGACGAGTTGGTGGACTTCACATTTTTGTTCTATGTCTACCCAATTCTGCAACCTTGTAAATATACTGAAGGTCTCACAAATCATGTAGCAAGGTGAAAACTCGCAACTGATATAATCAGACACCCTCATACCACTTATTTTAATAAGGTTAAAGAATAAGTAAATACACATTTCCTCAATACTTCCTGCCTGGTGAATGTTGCAATGATCAGATTTAAAATCTTCACAACTCAAATCCAGATTGTCAAGTGTTTCGACAACACTCGATGACCTTTCCGTTATATTGGCACTAATAAATAGTGAAAATCGTCAGCGAATAACATGCAAATAGAAAAAGTATTACCTACATGACAACTTACAAATTATATGTATGCTCGTCTGAAAGTAGGATATAGACAACGTAGTCAGTTACCTAACCTGTACATTATTATTGAACCAGGCTTTACACCATAAATTCACCCCTGGTAGCAACTAGGTAAGTACTGAGCATCGTGACCCGTTTGCGGCCACGGTGTTATTTAACACACGCAACGGTGCGCGCACGCATCACAGAATGGTGGAGTTGAGTTGACTGCACAACCACTCATGTGCACAGTTACAATATACGATGGACCTAGAGAATTACGAATGGCAATATGGTTTATGTTTTTTTTTAAGAATTCCCAAAGATAAACCGTCATTTGCCGCTATGAAGCCCTAGTAAGACCCACGAGACAAATTTAGATGGGTCTATCAGAATATATAAAAAACTGCCTTACGCGGCCGTGCCCTAAACTTGTTTAGTTGTTTTATGGTAATCGTTTCATACTGGAAATGGAATAAATTAGTGCAGCTTTTCCTTCTCTATTTTCAATAATAAAATATTAATATATTTCTTAATGTACCCATTTGGAAGGCTCGACTGATAATGGGAACTCCTTCGAGTTCAACCAACTATAATATGTCTCCTTTTACGATACTCGTGTACAATGTTAAAACGTTAATATTGGACAGTACTAAGTTGGATTGAAATGTACCTACCGATTTCCAACTGACCTACCACAATCAAAATCACGCACTGACTGAATGTATTAAACAAAGTAACCTTAAATTCCTTACATAATATGTAATATTAAAGCCTGAGGTCAATGTATTGATTGGATTAATGATACTTATACAATTATTCTAGATGATTACTGCTTTCGGACACGCAAAACCTTGAATACAAGCTTTCTTGATTATTTACTTAGTTACTATATATGTTGTAGCATATTATTATTAGGCCTCTTCTAAGATCTTTAAGATGTATAACATTTTTGTTTTAAGCTTTTTAGCTTTATTTAAGCTGTTGCTAATAGATAGACTGCATGTCTGCGTTTAATGTCTGCAGTCGTGATCAACTGCAAGCACTGGCTGCAGTCCATGTGAACGATAGTCCGAGAATCAAAAGCAGCAATTGACATTCTTAAGAACATAAGAGAATATTATATACTTAGTATACTACCTACAGAATATTATGTTTGCGTCTGAAAAAAAAGCGATTTTTTTTCAGTGACGGCAGTAGATAATGACTTCGCGAAGGTAATGGTAAAACCATAGCACGATTAGTGGAACTTTTCTTGTCAGGTTTATTGGCCTTACAATTGCCTCATGCATAATCCTTAAAATACCATTTTTTTTAATGACGACTTTGCAAAAAATTTGGCAAATTTGTGATCAAAGTATTTACAAATACCACCGTATAGTCGAGGTTTACGGACGTGAGTTTTTAACAAGTTTTTAAAAATAAGCAGTTTTTCCCATTTCTACCCCTGAGCCATTAATATTTTAAAGCCTCTGAATGCCAATGCAACTTTTATGAATACTCGTGTCGCTTACCACCACGCACACGACTTGTTCTTCCCATGACTTGGTATCATAAAAAATCTCTCAATCGCTATATTTCTACATAAATAAGTACGGATATAAAAAAGTATGTCGGCAGGAGCTTTCAATATCTCACGTAGGTGCAACTGGGCCTTTACTGATGGTTCTTGATACTGCTTTCACTAAACTTTCAAAGTTGACACGTCACTTTGTAAAGTCATTGTTATGTACTTAGTATGATTCACCGCTTGACCTCAATTTTATAGAAGTTTATACATTTTGCTTGACTGAGTCCTTATTATCCAAACAAAGTACCTAACATTGGTAAACGTAATAAAATAAAGTTTATTCCGCCCTCGAATATACGAATAAATTATTTGGCTGAATAAGAATGAAATAACTAGGATGCCATTTAAACAAATGAAAAAAATTACATCAGATAAAAAGTTGCCATATATATGCTTATTAGGTAAAAAAATATAGAACATTTCTTATAGGAATGATCTAATCTCAGTACAGAGTCCTAAAAAAACCGACCTCTAAAGTACGTGGAATTACATATAATTACCAAGTTTTATTGAAATCGGTTACCGGAAAGTACGCAAACCCGGATTCATCCCTTAGTTCGCCACTATACGGGACTTGACACGAGAGATAATAAAAATCGGTTCTCACTACTCAAACGATATTAAGCGAGAAAAACGCCTTGAATTGGAGAATAGCAAAATCAACCATTAGAATAATTAATCCTTAAAATAAAAATTAGGCGCTATTTGTAAAAGTGAATCTTCACGCGTGAACAGCCCCCTTAGAGGTGTATGATTTTCTTTAAATGGGACCACTATGCAGGTATTCTCTTTCCAACAAAAAAAGAATCGTAAAATCGGTTCACAAATACCGGAGTTATCGCGTAATACACATACAAAAAAAAACATACAGTCGAATTAAGAACCTCCTCCTTTTTTTAAAGTCGGTTAAAAATTAAAGTTAGGGCGCGTTCCCACTATGTCGTGACGACAGATTGTCGTGCAGTTTAGTGTCGTGGCTTGTATATTTAAATGAAGTTGTTCACTTATAGCACGACACGATTAACTGTCGTTCACGATTTTTTATCGTTACAACGACAAACTGTCGTCACAGTGGGAACAGCTAGAACGACAGTCGTCAGACGATAAAAAAACGTCACGATAAAAAAGTAACAATAGATTGTCGCAGCTCCTATTGTCGTCAAGTTTCATTTATCGCTGTCCGCACGTATTTTGCTCCCTGCCCTCCCCTCTCATACCCTGCGCCCTCTGCTCGCTTTGCAGTAGCGTTGGGTCGTAGCCAGAGGTGGGCAAGGAGGCTGTCATGAAACGATAAATTGTCGTCACGATCTAGTGGGAACAGCTAGTCACGACAGTCGTTCAACGATAACAAATGCTCCACGACAGATAGTCGTGATATGGGAACAGGCTAGACACGACAGTCGTCCAACGATAATAAAACGTGACGACATAGTGGGAACGCGCCCTTACTTTAAAATATATTTATTTAAAAAACGGAACGAGGTATGACACACATTATTTCGTTTCAAAGTGTTTGTATGTGTTTATCGTCTCTGAATACTATGTGTCCACCTTGATTATACTATTCGTTACTGCGTACATGCAAATTACCTACAGGCGCATGGGACTGGTCAACGTATATTTTAGGGTGACGAGAGCAGTGGTAGTGTCCCTTAGATATTTGCGATTTAAAAGTCTGAGTGGCACTACCATCGAGTATACAACCAGAAATAGAGACGAAATGTCATTTACTTTGTTTAAAAACTATTCTACCATATAATTACGGTGACAACTGCGCTCCGATTGGCCAGCCCGAATTCGAAATAATTGACGGGTGTCGTCAATTATTTCAAATCGACCAGTTTAACTTCAGCTTTGCCATAATAGATGAAAAATTAATAAAAAATATTTAATGTTTTATTACCGATGAAATGTGGTTCCGTTTGTTTTGTAATTAGATGTTTTTGCTGTTTTTTCCCAAACCACCGAATGGAACAGTCCGGAACAGCCCACCATAGTTAGAGATATTATCTTCATTACAATAAATACAGAATATTTTTGGAATTTACAAAGACGTCCACACAGGTCAGTTGTTGGCTACATTCAAAGAATTTTGAATGATAAGAAAAGTATGTAATAATAAAATCTCTTAAAGTTACGTTGTTTTCAATAATTATTATTAGCATTTTCACGAAGAAAAATAAATAAAACAAGCTGAGTCTTGATAGTCACGTTGTGAGTTCGGAATTATAGTCTAGTGTGAACTCTTAGTTTCGCCAAGGAGCATATAGATGACGCTGTTATAATTTTACGAAATAAACATCGCGTATTTTTATTTAACAAAAATTTATTTACTATGTGCTGTTAAATAAAAAATAAACAAAATTTTGAGGAGATATATGTAAATAAATAAGTTCAACATAACTTTTAATCAATAAAAACTGAAAAAAAATTTGTTTCCATTGCATCCGTGTAACTATTTTAAGATTGCTAAATTTGACATAAGAGCAATATTACTTTAATGTCAAAGTCGCGTCATAGTACGAGCTGAGTGATTGAATAGTCATAAAGCTGCCAATAAAACATCATAGTTTTAACATTACAATAAGCTTACTTTAAGCGCGTTATGGTAGGTACGAAAAGTAAATGTAAGGTTAAAGTAATATTGTTTTAAGGGGTTATGGTAGGCCCCTTGATGAGTTGCCAGTGATGGATGGCCCTTATTTCGTCTCTCTTTCACAGTTGTGTCGCTTACCACCACACACGATTTGTTCGTCCCGTCACTTGGTGTCAAAAAAAAACAAAAATTGGGGTGCACGAAAGGAGTTTCATTCGTACCCATTCCCGTCCTTTTTTTTTTTTTTTTTTTTTTTTTAAAATGTATGGCGCACCTTGGGCGAAAGTCGGTGAG